AAAACACAAAATGCTATTTTCGGTGTCTTTTGTTTGAGATCCCGGAATTATTTCTCCCAAAACATTGGCTGTGAGTGGGACTTTGATTATTGAAATTGCATCTACCTTTTGTGAGGACAATTTTACAATGTTTGTGTGTGTGTCTCTCTCTCTCTGTCTCACTACTTGTCCCTGTGTATCTGTGTGTGTGTGATCCAATTACCAAGAGCAGGGCTATAATCTTTGAAAGATAAATCACATGGAAGGTTCAGATGAAGAAATTCCTGGTCCCTTTGATCTCAGATACCCACCTGAACATCCTCCCATCACACCATCAAACCGCTTCTTAAATGAGTCTCCTGTGGTACATTGCTTTACCACATACTTAATACTTAACAATCATTGGCAGAAAGAGAAGGTAGCGTTTTCTGGAGTTATTAAGGAGCCCTCTATCCAGACAACCCCGGTACCCGCTCACACTGTTCCTACTCTCTAGAGACCCCCCCAGAATGGAGTTGTCCTGGGAGATGGACGTTTCGTGCTCACACCATGTCCAGTGTGCAGTGTCTTTGGCCCAACCGGGTGTCTGGCACATGCAAACCCATCACCGCGCTTCGGAGTGTCCAAACCAAGCTGAGAATTCCATGAGTCCCACCTACACACGAGATGAATTATTGGAATGGAATAGGATGTGTACACTCCCTGGAGGGATGCATTCCTGCTTACCTAATACTGGAAAGTATTAGGCACAGGTTGGCAAGAGCCAAGGCTTGGGGGGGGGGAACCCCAGAGTGTGTGCTGGGGGTAACTGCTGGAGTCTAACCAGCTAAAGCGAGAGACCTGAGTTCAATTCCAGGCAGAGGGCGAAACCTTGGGCAAGTTTCCTTACTCCACACAGAGCCTAATAATAATCCCTCCAAAACAAAACAATAATAAATTGGTCATTTTCAATCCCCGACCGTTTGTGGGACATTGCTGTGCGCAATTGGCTGCCGCGTTCGCCCACAAATATACAGTCAATTCACTTTACAGTGTGTTCTGTGAAGCGCTTTGGGACGTCCTCCTGACGTGAAAAGCGCTATATCAAATGCAAGGATTATTATTATTATATTATTAAACCCGCACAGCTTGCCCATTGACAGCAGTGACTAGCAAGTTTTCCCGCTGCTGGTCTAGCTCGGACCACCCTACCTGGGCAGGGCTTTGGCTCACAGGGTTAACAGGAGCCGAGAGTGGCAAGATTTCCTGCGTTGCAGTGAATGAGTGCTGTTGCCCGTCTCATTGCCTTTTCATGAGCCTGCTCCCTGTACAATGGATTAATGACAGTCACCGCTGTACAACCGCTGAGATGCAAATCAATGAGAAAGGGGAACCCACCAGAATAACCTGGAAGGTGCTTTATAAAGGCTCCCTGGCAAATAAGGTGGGAGCGACGCTCCCGGGCAATGGTCTGCAAAAACAACAAATAAAAGTGGGGGTTTGCAAAGAAAGTGACCCAGAAATAGCACTTGGGAGGATTTGCTCCCCCCCCACCCCCTCCCCA